CCCGTGACTGTTGGTGGGCGGAAACGAAAAATATGATAGGCAGGAATAATTGTCGCCTCCATTTTTTATCCCCCGAAAATATTGGCTCCGAAATTTTTCAAGTGCCCTGCCCTCTCCAAATATTTCGATTATTTTCAATTCTTTCCCTTTAACTTTACCCGACTTTACCTTATTCATTCTTTCTTTCTTTCCTTTCTTTTCTCTCTCTAAACCAAGCAAGCAAAGAAGAAACGCCATTCCTCTGCTAAAACATGGCATGGATGCATGAGTGAGAATCATATGGATATAGATGGGATTTTACGCAAGGTAAAGAATATCCCCACCAAAGCTCCTCCACCACCAACCACAGCTGTGGCCTGGGAATCTACATCCTCCGCCTCCAAATACCTCTTCAGGTTACTACGTACAGAGAGCAAAGAAGCACAAATGGAAAAACAGTTATGTGCTTTAGAATTTGAAGAAAGTGTTGAAGGATCGCATAGAACTTCTTTCCTTGCTTTCCCCAATCCCAATTTTATTTAGCCCCCCACTTCTGTAAAACCCTAATTCGTTTCTATTCTATCATCTCTCATAGATGCATGCCCCCAAAAACCTGCAACTGTCGGCCCTCTCTCGGCGCCACTTTCTTTTCCTCTGCCGCGAGCCCTTGACTCGTTAGAGCCCAGCTAGAGACGAAGCAGACTGTCATGTCCCCAATCGGCTGTCTCGGCCACACAAGGGAAACCTAGGCATTTCCACTACTGATATGCGGTCACTCATCTGTAAGTCTCTGCCTACCAATTTTCTCCATCTCTGCTTTGATAGTTGTAGAGGGCAAGCAAGTGAACTTTGGTGCTTTGTGTTTCTACTTTCCAATAGCAAATCTCTTTTAAGTTTTGTAGTGTGCTCGATTTCTTAGATGGCAAGCGAAAGTCCAAGAAGCATTATTATTGAATGGAGTCTCAGATATGGTAAATTTTAGCTTACTTACAGAGAATTAGGCCAATTATGCTCGATTTCTTTGTCTTCTCTTAGTAGTGCTTTATCCTTCAATGGATTGTAATTGGACACTAAACTCGGTCATCAGGTGTTTGGTATACAGAGAACCTAGAAAATGAGATAAATCTTGCACATTCAAGGAGGCCAGTGCCAGAACTAGATGGGCTTCAAGTTTTAGGATGTCATTTGCGATGAGCACGACATTAACCCCACCAGAATATATATTAGGACCTCCAATCTGCAACTTGAGATGTCATGTGGACGGTTTTTGTCCCATGTTTTGCTCATGGATCTCGAGGGCGTTGATCTCATTAATCATTCGGCAGTCTGGTGTTGGTAACAACTAGGCCATAGGTCACTACACTGAGGGCACTGATCTCATTGATTCAATTCTCTATGTTGTTATAAAGAATGTTGAAATATGTGCTTGCCTTCAATGTAATTGCATTCAATCTCTGCGCATGAGCGGGTTCATGCTGCTTGACAATCAAATTTAACTAATTGGAGTTCGCTTGATCTATTGCTGGTATAAGGAGTACAAGATGATTCATGGCAGGTGTGCAATGATTGGAGCCGTTGGGTTCATCATCCCTGAAGCTTTCAATAAGTTTGTTGCTAACTTCGGGCCTGAGGCTCTAGTTCAAGGTACATCTATCTAGCTACCTATATGTAGCAGAGTTAATGATTTGGATGCATTGATGCAGTTTATGATATGCTGGTTACATATTGTTTGAATTCATGTCTGAATTGTGGGTTGAAATACAAGATCAAGGGGACCACAATGTTAAATTTCTATAATTGGAATCGAAATCATGAAAATTGACCATGGATGAGATGTGATTGAAAGCTAATAAATTTTTGCAATGGTGTTGATGATACTGTTCAGGTGGTTATGGAGTGGAGCCTTTAGCAGTTATACTGTGATGATTACTTCAAGTGCAGCTACCGTTGTACCTCTTGAGCTTATTACTATGGTCGTGGCACCATTCCTATCTACTGGTAGATACCAATGCTTTCCTCTCTGTTTTGGTTATTACTGGTGTCCTGTTTTCTTTGAACTAAGCAAGCTAGCAGAGATGTAGTGCAATCAAATGGGGTTGAGATAGCTTATTTTAACTATACTTCAGTTGGCTACAACTTTGAATGATAACAAAAAAAAAGAGACATAGCTTGATGCGAAGTTCATGATTATCTAGTGTTGTATGCGTGTGTGTAAATGAATCATATGGATTCCTCTTTTTCCTTTCTCCCTTCCTTCACCAAAGTGAGAGTATAGGAATTGTAGAATGTTTAAATAAAAATATTAGTCACTGTTATTGATGTTCACACTGATTTATGTCCACAGGAACTATAACTATGGTAAAGTTGGACAAAGTATCAAGGCGGATTTGTTGTCAACCTAAATACATAGAGCAAAATGCTACCTTGGTTTTCCATACTGTCATTTGGATGTGGATGACCCTGAAGAAGAAGTTACAGCCTTCAGCCCACGATGTCTCTTTTGGCAACTGTCAGCCCACGAAGAATGAAACTCTGTCCAAACGCATTCCTGGGTTCTGTACAACAATGAACATTCTCTATGCTTTACTTGAAGTGTCTGGTGTGTCCTGAATTTGCAGCAGATCTTGCAGCAAAAACCGCCCAGTCTAGAGTCACTTGTAACTACGGACTTGTGTACAAAAAGAATGCAAATGTTGTATGTAATGCAGTTAGTAGCTGCTGACAGTTTGTACAAAGAATTTTTTGATCATATTTATGAAATAAAACCTCTCTTTTTCATAACATAATGTATGTACCACATCACAGGTTTCTCTAGCGACTATTGATTAGTATCCATCACTTGATTTCCATGTGATTAGTAAGGATCAACGATCACGAGGTTCCTGTGACCATTGACACAAAAACCCTTGCTTTAAATTGGTCACAATCATATACAATTTCGTGACTATTGGACAGAACTCCGTGACGAATAATGCAAGAAGTCACGGGAAATCCCGTGACTATTTTGTAACTTAATCACGGGATTTACCGTGACAAAATAAAGCTTCTATCATGGAATTTTCCCGTTATTGTATCTCTTCTGTCACGGGTTTGCCCGTAATATTTTACCTTTGATGACGGGCATGCTTGACACGGGATAATACCGTGACAAGTGCTTTCCATTACGGGAATTGACTATTAAGTCACGGGAAATCCCGTGATCGAAGGTGAATTTTCCTGTAGTGTTATTGCACTTTACAAGTTACAACAACCCAATCCCTTCGTCTTCCGGTTAGCGTTCAACTACGACAAACTCGTCATCTACGTATAGATACCAGTGGCACCTAATAAACGTGTGTTACAGGGTTTATTTCGTTGAATTATGTAACGGTTATAATAGTCTTTATTATCTCCTGATTCAACGTGTTTACACCCTAACACTAATATAAATAGGTTCTCCATGAAAAGATATTTAATTCTAAATTTACAGCTTTCTGAGTAAATTTAGTGACGAGATTTTTGTCTTTGCCTCGGCTCTATTAGAAATAAAAGACATTGTTTATTATACTAATGGAAAAATAATATCGTAGGTAATTTTCTTAAACCAATTGTCATGTCATTATTTTTAGTTAAAAAAGATGGGGTTTTAATGATGGCCGAGGGTTGTGTGTATATAGGTTTAGTTTGTTTATTTTATGGTGCAGAGTATTGCAACAATGAAGAAGGCAACAACGCTGGCGAAGATAGTTGTGACTAGGGATGGCAATTTGAACTCGTTCTGCCGGTATTATTCGACCTGACCTGTGAATGGGTGGGTATTACCCGATCCACACTAACATAGGGCGTGGTATGGGTATCTACTTCCGACCCGCACTGCCCCGTTCTTTGCCCATTCTACCTCGATTTCTTTTTTTTTTGGTAATACTCTACCTATCTCGATTTCTTACAATATCTATACATATTTCTCATATTTTGACTTTTCTTCGACTAGTTAGAGTCGATCTTTCAACTGTTTAGGCTCAATTACGCCTTCTATTATCACTATTTTTCATTCGTAAAGTGTTTTTCCCTTCGTTTTATCGTAAAAAGTAGAATTGAGTGTATTTTTTTGAAATAACATGCGAGAGTGGGTCGACCCGACCCGCCCCGTACCCGCACGGGTTTTACCCACCCCGACCCGCCCCATTGCCATCACTAGCTGTGACAGCGTGTGCCACCTCTTTATCGACGTGGCGCGCAACCAATATCACATCACTTGGATTTCGAGCAAGGCCTAAGGCAAGCTAATTGGCGGGGCTCAGCATTCAGATGGCTGTTTATGGTTCAGAGTATCCCTGTGCTTTAAACCCTCTCACCCGAGATCAAATTTCACTCCTACCACTGTACTTTCCCTGAAGTTTGGGCTCACTGCCTGGAAAGAGTCGGTGCTGAATACCTTATGGTGGATTCTGATTTCGAAAGCCGCATATTCGCGATGGGCAAGAAGTACGTGGAGTCTTACACCATTGACCGAATCGCAATGTCAGTTGGGTGTCTGCTATTTCCAGTGATCATACCAAGTGTTCCTTCCTTTTGCTCAGTGAAGCTTTGAATTAAGTCGAGAGAGATTTGTAAAGCATTGTTAGATACCAATTATATTTTATAATTATTGGGGTAAATTGCAATTTGGGTCACTAGATTTACTAAAAACGTTCACGTTTGGTCACTACAAATATTTAATTCCATTTGTGGTCATTAAAATTACTTCAACGGTTCAAGTTTGGCCACCCTCCGTCCAACTCTGTTAACTTTTTCTTATGTGGCAGTCAACGCTCATAGTTGACTGTTAAATGTGTGATGTGACATTTAAAAATTAATAAAAAAATAAAAATTAATTATTTAAAATTCCACATAATAATAATATTCACAACTACTAGAAAATAGAAATAAAACTTGATTTCTATCTCTACCAAACCCTACCTCTTCCTCTGTTTCTCACCTTCCCATTTTCACCGCCGAACCTCCAAACCCCCACCCAAGTCCCAACCCTCCCATCCAACAAAGATTATGTAAATGATTGGAAAATGAAGAAGGCACAAAACCCTCACCAGGCTTCTCTGTCAATTCAATTTTCCTTTTTTCTTCACCCAAATTTGTGTTTCGTCGACCCTTTTCGCGAAAGTCCAGTCTTTGTTATTCAGAAACAGAGACATGCAATTCACTGACAGTCCTCCTTCTCTGGTATCCACCTGGCGGCGACAGGGAGGCTGTTACGGCCGTCTCTCTGATTTCGAATCTTCTTACCGGGATTCACTCAAAGTCTCAAACATGGACGTCCATCTCGCAGTCATCGAAGAACCTCTATCAACGGCAATGCTCTCGCTGGCGGAATTCTCGCCTCCACGAATTTCTTCCTCCTGCTCCTACGCTACGGTGAGTTCCCCTGTTTTCTCCCAAAATTTGGTCGCTAGAAATGAAATTCGAACATGAGTCTATTAATTTTCGGTGAGGATTGTAAGCAATTGGACTACCAAATTTGGGATTTGGCCTGCAGTGCCCTCTGTTTCCAGTAATTCACGTTTGGTGGACTTCCTTATTGCCATGGGACTTCCTCGCCGCTGCTGCTTCAGGGTTCACAATAGTGCATAATAGCACCAGTGATCCAGTCCCTACTCAGTGTTCTTGTTGCAAATCTTTATATGACGATGGAGCCGCTGTCGAAGAAGAGGAGAGGAGAGTGCTCAGTGTAGCCATCGCGGACAGTAGCAGCCGGAGAGTCCTCGACCATATGGAATTCCAGACATGATTGGAGGCTTTGGAAAACGCTTGGACCAATTTTTCTGGGTTGTACGAGGGAGATTAGGAGAGTATCGGAGGAGGAGGAGAACCGTGGAATAGCCGGAGATCCAAGGAATCGTTGCGGGAGGGGTGGGCGGAGGAGATTTCTCACTTCAATTAGTTATTATCATTATTTTTTATTTTTATTTATTGTGAAAATGACATGGTAATTGAAAAGGATAAATTTTATTATTTTTTAACTGCAATGTCACTTATTTAACGGTCAACTATGAGGGTTGACTGCTACATTAGACAAAATTAACGGAGTTAGACGGAGAGTGACCAAAATTGGAATGTTGTACTAATTTCAGTTACCACGAATGGATTTAAATATTTGTAGTGATCAAACGTGAATGTTTTTAGTAAATCTTGTGACCAAATTTGCAATTTACCCATAATTTTTCTAGAATAAGAAACACGTCATGTGCTTTGCTGTATTTTGTACAAGAAAGATTTTTTGTACTAAATGCTTATCTAATTATTAATTCACTTTAATTTCTAGTAGAGGGACACCACTATGTAAAATTTTTGTATCCGCCACTGCTGCCACCATTGGTTCATTGAAGTTTTGGATAAAGTTTTCCTTCTTTTGTGTTGTGTTCATTTTATTTTGCAGTTCTTCAATTATTGCTCAATTTCTCGACTAAGCTCTGCTTCCTCTTGGCTGTCATAGAGTGGTATAAGATCCAACATAACCTTCTCCCAATAACTTGAGTAAGTGGAACCAACTGGTTAATCACATGGTAACAGAGTTGCGCTCCGGTCTCCTTAATCCTTCCCTCTTTACTTAATCTTCCCAGACTACAATCTCGTCTCCTCCCTTTCTTCTTCCGCTGCTGCCATGTCTCAAAATTTCGGCGAAGCCGTCATCAATCTTGATGATTCAAACACCATCATCACTCTCAACCCTGCCACCCAAGTTCCCCAAAAACTGACCGACGAAAATTTTCCTACCTGGCGTGCACAATTGCTCAATCTTCTACGCGGTCTCACCCTCCTTGGCTTCATTGACGACACTCATCCTCAGCCGGCTTCCGATGTTGTAGTCGCTGCTCGCACACGTCGGTTCAGGCAAGACCAACTACTTCTTCACTCAATTATGGCCTCTGTCTCACCTGTTGTTGCTCCTTATGTTACCGCTGCCAAATCCGCTCACGAGCCCTGGACTATACTCGAGCGCATGTACGCCAGCCAGTCCCGGGAGCGGGTTATGAATCTCAAACAGAATCTTGTTCGCAATTTACCTCCAAGTGATGCGCACGACTCCTGCTAAGCTTGCTCTCGTCCAAGCTCTGGTCTTTGAGAAGAATATGACACTCTCTCTGCCGCCATCCGTGCTCGTGACACCACTATCACTCTTGAAGTTCTCCATGATCGTCTGGTCGATTATGATGCTAAGCTTGCAGCCGTTCATTACCGCCCTTCCTCGGCTCCGACTACAGCCTTTTCCACTAACCGCGGTCACTCTTCTCTTTCTGCTCAAAGCCCCGACAACCCTCATTGACAACAAATGGCTTGTCCTTCCTATTATTATGTTCCCAATCAGCATGGTCAATCCCCATCTCGTGGCCCTCCTGTCTCGGGAGCCCTCCCCTCGGCTCCCTCTCTCCTTGGCCACCCACAGCTCCTCTGCCAGTTCTGGACAAGCCGGGTCACATCGCCAAGGAATGCTACCGCATTCGCGGACGACCTCAAGCACATCACACCTCCAACCTGAGCTATTCTTCTCCAACATGGCTTGTCGACAGTGCCAACTCCAACCATGTCACTCCTGACCTTGGCGGTCTCTCTCTTTATACAGATTATTATGGTCCCGACAAGGTTCTAGTCGGCGACGGGTCACACCACCAACATGGATTATCAAACGTCGCTTGTTACGGTTGCCCAATTATGTGATATGATCCCAAATTGCCAACCATTTACGTCACAATTACTTGACAAAGAAGCTATTGAAGTTGGGAAGAAGAAGGGCAGAATTTGGCTAAGTCAAAATCCGTGTTCAGGGTATAGACTTTGGAGGCATGGTTCTCTCAATTTGCTTGGTGGAAATTCAAGATTAAGAGTTTGTTTTGTATATAAAGTTTCCATGTTTTCAATGATATGCTTTGTGGAGCCAGATGATGTCATTAAGGTTGTTTTCCAAGGCCTCAAAGTTGCTACCTCGAAACTGGAAAACTGCCAGAAAATTACTAAGGCAGAAAACTGTTTTGTGAAGCCTACTTTGGAGCTCAATTCAAGGAGCGTGGATGGGATCCAAGTCAAAAGGCTTCCTCAACATGAAACTAGGTATGTTTGTGAACAAAGGGAAGGAATTGGATGAAGAATTGGAGCTCTGGAAGGCCTCGAACAAAAGGTGTGAAGTTAGTACGAAATCACAGAATTTCTGCCTTTGTAAAACAGGATTTTCTTTCCTTATTCAACTATGATTGTTAGATTTTATTCCTTTTCGAGTTAGATTGTATTTAGACTTCCTTTTTAGCTGTTATACGTAGCTTAGGTTTATTTAAAGCTTTCTTTTACGTTGTAAACTCAGACTTTGATTAATCGAAAAACAAACCTTTGGTTTTGTGCAAGTTGCGACTTGTTTGAGTTTGGTGGATTCCAAGCTTGTGAGCTTTGTATCGATTGAATATTCTCTTCAATCGTGGTCGAGAAACTACCCTCTTATACCAATCGAGCTATCCCCAGGTGTGGATTTGTCCTTTTGGTTCCGTTTTATCCAAGTTCGTATTAAGAACGCTTTGTTCTTGATTCGAGCTCAATCGATTCTTCGATTGAGTCGTTAGCTGCGTGACTTTGATTACATACACCCCCAGGGTCGTATTAAGTGGTATCAGAGCCCCGTTCTACACAAGGGCGAAGGAGAAGAAGAACCTGCTGTTTCGTATAAGCAGTTTTATCGAGTTCCAAAACAGGGCAGCCCCTGTTTGTACTTTGCAGTTGCTGTTTGTGTTTGAAGTTTTCGATTCTACACCAACAGATGGTGGAGAGTAGTGTAGAGGCAAGGAAGACGCAAATTCGTGTCCAAGAGGAGCAGCCAGCAGTCGTTTTTAAGCATCGAGAATCCGACGAACAGCGAGACAATTTGTTTCACAGTCGATGCGTTGTTGATGGGAAATTATTATCGCTCGTGATCAATTGAGGCTCATGTGCAAATATTATCAGCCTAAACGCTGTTCAGAAGCTCGGATTAACGACGCAAAGGCATCCAGAGCCTTACCAACTCGGATGGATCAACGAACACGGTACGATTAATGTCACGAAGCAAGTCGTAGTTCGTTTTCAAATCGGTGGTTACGAAGACGAGGTTAATTGCGATGTGGTGCCAATGAATTGTGTTCATATGATGCTGGGAAGACCGTGGCAATTTGATCGCGAAGTTTCTCATGATTGTCGAACCAATAAATTCAAATTTCGGCATCATGGCAAGAAGATAGTTCTGAAACCTCTTTCGCCGGATGAGGTTTTCGCCGATTTGAAGCAGATGGAGGCGAATCGGAACGAGGGAAAGGCGTTTCAGGCTCAGATGTGGGTGCAGACGCAAGTCGGCTTCAATTTTATGAGCTTTCGAAAGCTCCTGAACGAAACTCCAATGCTGGAATCCGACGACAGACATGACCTCTGTTTTACGCTGCCGAAACAGAGTTTCGACTCTGGTATCCCTGCCGACGCTGAGGAAGAGAAGACAGAGCCCGATGCGGCTAAAATAACGTCTCTGGAGGTGTTGGGAGGGATTGAAAATCGAGGAGAAGCACTGGAGACGGCTGCCGACGGACGAATCGTCCTAGTGACGAGCCAAGCAGAATTCCAGTCCGCCCCGACAACAACGGAGCAGAGCATGAGAGAGAAGCAATGTGTTGGGACACTAGGGAGTGCTTCGAAACTCGCCACCGACGCCAATACATTCCTTCCGACCCCACGAACGTCACTAGTAGCTCCAAAGGACGAGGACTTGCTGGAAATTGCAAGTTTGAATTCACCAGAAGCAACTCTGTTTGTGAAGCAATACGACTCGAAAATTCGCGAATTGGTTGGGATGATGGGGCAGGATTCGAGACCAACCAATGATGTCGTCACGTTCGCTAAGGATCCGAGAAGGTTCTAGTCGGCGACGGGTCAGGTATCTCTACTTCTTCCACTTGTTTATCTCTCCGTGATGTGCTTAGTGTTCCGGCTATCAAACGTCGCTTTTTACGGTTGCCCAATTATGTGATATAATCCCAAATTGCCAACCATTTACGTCACAATTACTTGACAAAGAAGCTATTGAAGTTGGGAAGAAGAAGGGCAGAATTTGGCTAAGTCAAAATCCGTGTTCAGGGTACATACTTTGGAGGCATGGTTCTCTCAATTTGCTTGGTGGAAATTCAAAGATTAAGAGTTTTTTTTGTATATAAAGTTTCCATGTTTTCAATGATATGCTTTGTGGAGCCAGATGATGTCATTAAGGTTGTTTTCCAAGGCCTCAAAGTTGCTACCTCGAAACTGGAAAACTGCCAGAAAATTACTAAGGCAGAAAACTGTTTTGTGAAGCCTACTTTGGAGCTCAATTCAAGGAGCGTGGATGGGATCCAAGTCAAAAGGCTTCGTCAACATGAAACTAGGTATGTTTGTGAACAAAGGGAAGGAATTGGATAAAGAATTGGAGCTCTGGAAGGCCTCGAACAAAAGGCGCGAAGTTAGTACGAAATCACAGAATTTCTGCCTTTGTAAAACAGGATTTTCTTTCCTTATTCAACTATGATTGTTAGATTTTATTCCTTTTCGAGTTAGATTGTATTTAGACTTCCTTTTTAGCTGTTAGACGTAGCTTAGGTTTATTTAAAGCTTTCTTTTACGTTGTAAACTCAGACTTTGATTAATCGAAAAATAAACCTTTGGTTTTGTGCAAGTTGCGACTTGTTTGAGTTTGGTGGATTCCAAGCTTGTGAGCTTTGTATCGATTGAATATTCTCTTCAATCGTGGTCGAGAAACTACTTTCTTATACCAATCGAGCTATCCCCAGGTGTGGATTTGTCCTTTTGGTTCCGTTTTATCCAAGTTCGTATTAAGAACGCTTTGTTCTTGATTCGAGCTCAATCGATTCTTCGATTGAGTCGTTAGCTGCGTGACTTTGATAACATACACCCCCAAGGTCGTATTATTATGTAAATCTAACCCGGTTTCGGTGGAATTCTTTTCTGATTGTTTGTTGTTAAGGACCTAGCCACGGGGGCGCCTCTATTACGCGGCCAGAATAAGGATGACGTGTATGAGCTTCCTATGGATGTCTCCCCAGTCTGTCGATCTCGCCATGACCACCACAAAAGTTCCCTCTACCACTTGTCATAATTACCTGGGCCATCCCAATCACCGACTGCTTGTTTGTTTGCTTTGTAACCAGTCTCTTCCTTCTCACCAGTCTCTTCCTTCTCACCATTTCCTTCGCTAATATGATGTTTTCCATGTCTTTACTACCTTGACCAAATGATTACCAATTACTTTCATACATCTATTCGTCGTGTGTTTAGTGATGGAGGGGGTGAGTTCCAAAAGTTATGCTCTTTTCTTCAATCCACCGACATTACTCATCTGCTCACCCCACCGCACACCCCCCAACATAATGGCTTGGCAACAATGTAGTGAAAAGCGAGTTTCTACATAGAAACCTTTTGGTGATCTAGAAGCGTAAAATCATACGTTTTAAGGCGGTTTTTTTAACTACGTAAGTTATAATACTGAGATTTTCCGTAGAAGCGTTATGGTGATCTAGAAACGTAAAATTGTAAGTTTTTAAGTTTTAAAGCAAGATTTTGACTACAGTGCTTCGTAGAACGAAAACATCGCCACATCGTGGAGACTGATCTTGCTCTTTGCATACCGCTAATCTTCCCCTCACTTTTTTGTCCCATGATTTCCAAACCGTTACCTATCTTATAAATCATCTCCCTTCTTCCTCTTTTCATGGTGCCACCCCTTACTTCTCTATTTTCAATGAACCCGCCAATTATCTTAAATTGCGCACCTTTGGCTGCCTCTGTTACCCTTGGTTACGTCCCTATTCACCACACAAACTAGCTCCTCGCTCACGCTCTTGCATTTTCCTCGGCTACTCTCTCAACCAACGTGCCTACAAATTCTAGGACCCCTCTACCAATCGCTTGTTCATCTCCCGCCATGTCCAGTTCGATGAGTGACACACTACGACACAACTCTTAACAATGGCCAAGTGTAACCAATGAAAGGGACTGTAGTATAGTGGCACAAGTAATAAATATCGAATCCACGGGTCTCTAAAGTTACTATTACTCAGCTTTAGTTCATTATCTAGCAAACCAGATTAAGGATTGATTTACTAAACTACTCTACTAACTACAGGTTGAGAACTCACTTAGGTATGATTCTCCCAAGATCCTCAATTAGGTCCAATTTGTAATTCCTTTTGGTTGTTTTACTGTTGATTAAACTATGGAAGATCCTAAATTAGTTTGGATTCTCTTAAGATGTTCAAGCCCTGTTAGACAGATTATCCGCCAGGAGACTAGCCTTCACCGGAAGGCGATTCACACAGATCTCCACTGCTGGAATGAATTACAGTACAAAGCAGTGAATTGACTGACTCTCACACAACTAATTCACTACTATCAATAAAGGAAGCTCTCTTAACCTAATCATATTCTATCTATCATAGGTTAAAGGAGAAACACGACCGTGTTTTTAGGGTTGTCTGCCTGTGTTTCTTCCCCTGAACCCGTTCCACTATATTTAATGCTTCGTTTCTCCCTTGTCCAGACTCCGAATCAGTCGCCGTTTGATCCCTAACGCTTGTAGTCTCATCCTCTTTCTTTTCATGAAAAGATTGAATGACTCTTTGTCTATAAATGAGATATAAAATACATTATTCTTCAGGTCATGCCCGAGTTTCTTCTCCCGAGTCGCCAATTGATCTTCGATTGACTTGAAACTTGCGCCTATGATTCACTTTACATGCTAGGACCTGAAATGTGTTAATGAACACAATCTAGCATAAAATAGGCCAAATTATGATAAATACCAAGCTAAACA